TGACTAATTAACTGTCTACAAACTAGCTCCTCTTCCTCCGTTTCATTCCTCCCCTGTCGCTGCCTGAACCTGCCTCGGGTCTTCATCCCCAGAGTCCTGGTCGGACTTTTCCATTGTAATCAGCTACCGGCTGCTAATTATGTGTTCCCCAGCTCTTTCCTTAATGCTGTAATCTGCTCAGATGTATTACGGGACTCTAGTTTGTCCCTTATCAGGCACCATATGTGTGTGAGTTAAGCAGGCAGGTTGTCTGGCAGCTAATCAGCAGCAGACAGACAGCTGAGGGACACTAATATAGTTAACAGACGCAGAGTGCGACACACACACACACACACACACAGATATATAATAAGATGAACTTCAGTGATCCCTGTGGAGAAACAGGATATATCAAAGGAAACAAGGACCATGAGGAAATAAACAGATGGCAGCAAACACAACACAACCATCTGTTTTCTACTTTTCTAAACTACAGATGACCTTTGACCTGTTCAGTTTTAGTTGCAGAGCGTCAAATCATACAGCAGTTATCTCAGGAGACTTTGTCTGACTCCGTTCTCTGGTGATTTTATATTTTTTCATTTTCTGGTCGTCTTCTTGCCTTCAAGTGCTTTTCCGTCTCCAGCCGATCTCAGCCCGCTTCCTCATTAACTGTAATCAGACGGGGACGAAATAACCACCACTTCTGTCCTTTCTAGCTTTTATTTTTCAACCGTTACCCAGGGTTTCACGCTGTTTCCTCACAGCTCCAGGCCAACAACTATAGATTTAAATACTATGTGTAGCTGCAGTCATCAGCCAGTTATTTTAATTTAAGGCCCATCGCATGGCGCAGGTCACAGGGTCGGCTCAAACCTTCACAGAACTCAGGTGGTTTGATTGAATATCAGGTAACGGTGGTAGAATAATTGGTTCAGTCATTCACTGATTTAACCATTAACATTCATTAAATGTTAACAGAAAAATAGGGATTTTTTTCCTGGGGGTCGGGCCCCCCAGTAGAGCTCACCAAAGCTTCACAGGGGGTTGCAATGCCTTCTTGATGGTAAGGGGTGTAAGAAAACTTCAAAAATATTCTACACGGTAGGCCTATATCTCAGCTTTTTGTTCATTTCTGTGAATACAACTAAATAAGGTTGTTGTTTTTAAAGTTTAAAGATTATTATTTAAGATCTAAACTTGACCTGAACACAGTATATATTGACAGAGCCTTCAGTCTCTGATCAACAGCCTCGTCCCGCATTAAAATACCAAAAAGCTGATAGAACAATGAGAAGAAAACACTGAATCTGTTTAAATAAAGAAGCCTATTAAGTCTGTATGATTGTTAATAAAACAACAGACGATCCAGACAGAGAATTATATAAAAAGCTTGTTAAAATTATCAGGATCTCATCTCTGACAGGAAATAATCTGTTTAAAAATAAAAAATAAAATATGTCACTTAGTCATCAGTTTACTCAGTGACAGAGGGGTCTCTTCCTCGGTGTACTCTGTAGTGTTCAACCTCACTAATGCTGCGTTCATATGGAGGCAATGTTGGGCTGTCCACATACTTTGGCCATGTGGTGTGTTAAATATAACTTGTGGCCTCATCTTGTACGTGTGTGTTTGGGTTGTACAGCAGTGATCTGCTCACCATCATTACAGGCAGCCAGTATCAGAGAGGATTTTGGGTAATCATGCATTGATTTTACTCCAAGTGATGAGAGATGGCCATTACACGTGGTTGGTCTTGAGTGACATCAATAGCAGGTGAAATACGATCGATTGTTTGAGATTCAATAGCACAAACAGACCTGTTTTCGTCTCAGTGCGCCAGTGTTCACAACAGGAAATGGTTACAGTGATGTCTGAACTTTATACGTAAATATGTAATGCTGTTTTTCAATATGGGTGAACATCCTTGTGCCTAATTATGGGAACATAAACAGGCTGAAGTGATTCATACAGAGAGAGAGAGAGAGAGAGAGAGAGAGAGTGAATTATAAGAAGAAACAACAATAAACAGATTTCTGTTTTTCCAGATGAACATTATATCGGGAGGTTTTTACGACGGTTTGATGCTCTACACTCAGGCCCTGAACGAGACCATGTCGATGTCCGGCGGTCGACCTCCAGGCAAAGTCGTCACCAAGAGGATGTGGAATCGAACCTTCCACGGTTGGTGCATTTTTTGGTATATTTTGTGCCATTTTAATTCAATTCAATTCAATTCAATTCAATTCAATTCAATTTTATTTTGTATAGCGCCAATTCATAACAA